GAAACGTAGGATTGTAGAGCACGTGACGTGCCTTTTCCTTTCCCAGGAGCTCACGCGTCTCGGGATCAGAAATGTCGAGGTTAGCCTCGCGCTTGAGGAAGACGGCGATATCCGGCTGCTCAAAGGAGAGGCGCATGATCTGTTGGAAGCAGTCGCCGCATGCCTCCCGTCCACAGACGCGGCACATCCAGCTGCCTGAGAAGATGGAAGTCATACAGTTGTCACAAGTTGCGCGACATTCTTGCTCGCGTGCGCGATAAATGATATCGTGATGCTGGAGATGTGTCTTCTCGTCGCGCAATGTGGAGAGTAAGGACTCCGCAATGGCTTTCTGTGAGGCGCAATTCAAATTTAGCACAAAATCCCAAAGATTGCACATGGAAAAAAGTGGTCACGCGCGTCAAACAAAGATTGACAGCAGAAAACATAAAATAAACGGGAACCACTGGAATATCACGTTTCCCAGGAGACGTTCTGAATGGTACGACGAATAACGAGACTAACCTGTGTCACATGGATATGGGCGGTGGTCAGCGGGACATTCCAACGCTGCGGGAATCGCACGTTCAGCGGTGTAACCGGCGTGGAGCGAAAGCCCATCCCACTGAATTTCCCAGACGCAGACTTGAAAAAATATCGAACACCCAAGAATCGACAGGTATCACCCTGGTAACGGCGCGTGCATGACACACAGCGCGGAATCTCATCCTGCTTGTACTTGTTCGACATGCACCGCGCCTCCTGCAGCTCAGTCTCCACGGTGGCAGTGCCGTCTTGATTCGTTAGCATGATAACAGGTGGGTCTGATCCCCGCCTGGGCTTCTTAGACTTGCGCAACGTAGGCGGCGAGGCATCATCGCTCAGCGATCGACGTTTGAGAGAGCTACGAGGTGGTTTCGAAGGTCGCGTTTCGTGACATTCAGATGTGCTGGGTGTCGGCGCAATGAGTCGGCTGGCAGGTTTGGTGGTATGTGAAGACGGCGGTGATGCAGACGATGTTGATGGCGTATCCGGAGTAGCGGTTCTACGCACGACCTGTCTCATGGATACTCTTTGCGAAGCTTGCAGGTGGGCGTCTAAAAGACGGGTACATGATGGGCGTCAGTACACTTGGCGCCCAGGCTACTGTAGTTGAACGACTCAACAAGACGATTCCTCTGCCATGGAACTAACCGATCTGCGGCCGCCCCCCGCCATCACCAGTGTAGGGTATAGGTCGTCGGGACTTGCAGGTCGCTCGATGTCGCTGCCGTAGTCAACAAACTGATTGTACTCACGTCTGAGCTGAACAGGATGAGGCGAAAATGGTTGAAGTTGATGGATGAATGATGGAGAATGCGAACTCGGTAAACTTTGATGAGCGTCCGGATAGTAAGGATGAGGGGAGTAGCAATGAAAATTCGGACGAGAACGAGAACGGGAAAGAGGTGGCGAAGGCAACTCCCAGGTCTTGACGGGACCGAGAGTGGGAGTGTGAAAAGACGCCGTGGGTGACGCGTGAAGTTGTCTTCTGGCACCATGAGGTCGGTCGCTAACGGGCGGTTCGGGATTTAATATCGCGCTCAGCGATGTTTTTCTCGGTTTGCTCATCGTCGTGTGCATCCAGAGTCAAGAATCAGTCAAAACGGCCGTGGTGGTGCAGGACAAAAAGCTGTTCATGCCATACACGCCCTATGTTTACATACTTCGGACGTTAGACCCGCTTGCCCTCATTTGTCCATCCCATCCCATCGCAACGAGTTCCTGCCTGTCCTCCTCCGCGGACATGTTCTGCAATCATTCGCCGTTGACGTGCCCATACGTTCTCTCAAGCTTCGGTGAGAAGTTACATTGTTGAGTGGACGGATAGACAAGGTCTCTGCTCCTTCGAGGTCGAAGGTATCTACTTTTTTCTCCTTCCGCGAGACTTTCCAGCGCAGGATCCTCTCAATCTATTGGATGTCGGCTTCCGATCTAACGGAATCACTACCCCAAGTGCACCGCCTTCGCCAAACCGCGAAAGAGGCTAGACGCGTGGATTCGCCTATCATCGTGTAGCGGAAGGATAGGTCTTTCAGACTTTACCCTCCCCCCCATTGGCTTTCAGCAGACGGAGGTTCGTACACCTAGCAGGTCATTCATCACACTTTTGCACACGACACCGTGCGCTCGTGTACAGGAGCTGCACTCGAGGGAAGGTCGGTGGCTTTGATTACAATTGAAAATAGGACAACTGACAGAGAAGAATCTCAGTGGAGAGCGCGCACGCGAAGCCGCGATGGTCTCGCCTGTCTCTCACGTAGCGGGTCGCCGCTATTGGGTGCCCGCGGCTTCTCTTCGCGGGAGCGTGGTTGGTTGAATAGCTTTGGGTGCGCAGATAAAGCACGGGTTCGAGAGCGCAGGTTGTAAAGTTCTACTCGTTCGTACTTTTGCGAGGTACGCCCGCTGGCCCTTGAAAGGTTTGTTTTTGCAGGTAAGTTTTTGCGTCGTCTTTCCGTCAAGCCCCCTCTCCGGTCCGTCTCTTTCCTAAAGATCTACTTGCATCCGGTGTTCAAACAGTGAAGATAGGTATGTTCGCGGTTCCGAGCTGGAATGTCATTCCACTTCCCAATGTCCGCGGAGACTCCTCTCGTCACTGGTACCACTGGTTCACTGATGACGCGGACGTGCCGAAATGCAGTCAGTGGGCTTAAAACTATCCCTCAGTCTGAATTTCATCTTCTTCAGCTTCTGGTCTTTCTCACGAGAATCGCTGTCGAAAAATGTTTTCTGGCAAGTATGTCCTCTGGTTCTCTTTGTAGGGATTTATTCAGCGGGAGATTGGTTGCATTACTAATACCATATTGCAAAATACTAGACGAAAGGATACCAGGATCCACCGACTGTCAAATTTGTTGATGTCCTGGTTCGGTGCACTATCTCCCACAAGAAAGGATGGGGAACTCTGTGCGTACGGTCGGTCTATCTTTCGTCTGCCGAACTCTCCCCCCTCCTCCCCAACCTTCTTGTCCATTTCTTTTCTTCGATCAAAGGGACGGCTCTGCGACGGGGGACGAGAGACCAGCGACGCTGATTCAACATGACCACCAGAGAGTGGCAGCTTACGATGATGGAGCGATCGCCGCTACAATGACCGAAGCTAACTGTGCAGGACACGCCGCTGCCTTTTTGAGCATTGGGGTAGGCGTTTTCTCACGCCGACTCTTTTTGAATGACCTCGTACGTTTTGACAACTTGCTCTCGGGGACCCATGGCAGTACTCATTTTCGCACCACCCTCCAAGACAAGCGTTCATACATATCGATCTGGCACTTTTTTGCACGTACTGCGCCATCGTTCGCTACTGGACAGACCACGCTACCTCAACGAGGCTGCTGGTGGCCTGGCCGCGTTCTTATGTGTGCTTTCATTTCTCGGACTGTCGAGCTTGTGCTGTCACGTCAATTGCTAGACTGGTTTCATACACTGCCTCAACTTTCGTGTATTACACCGTTGCCATGGCCCTGATCGTTGCGCCACCGTGTCGACAATCGTTCCAGCTACGTCCATTGAGCTGCTCCGTCAGAGACTTTGCTGTCGCTTTCCTGTTGATGATGTCACGGCGTCTACACCTCCATTGCTGTCGCGCCCACCACTACGCCATTGTGTCTGCTCTCGCGCCGTCGTGAGATGTGTTACGGTGCCGTCACGCCAGCCGACTACGCCGTCCTCTATAAGTCCCGAAACTTAAAACGGGCCCTGAGGTATGCACTGCGCCGGTGAGTGTACGGTCCAAAAATCCACGTGTTTCTCATAGCCAGCTCACTGACCCCTCGTCTCGTCTACTGGGAGCTTCTAAGCGACGGTGTCACTTTTTTTTGATACATAAATATCTCATTCCACGTACCGCTTTGTCGGTCTCGTCGCTTCACGGCGGTGGTCTATCCCTCTTGACACCTTGCCTCTTTTTCATTCGTCGAAAGGTTGGTAGATCTTCGTGTCCCGACGCAGCACCCTTCTATCCGGCTCGTCTAGCGTACCTTTTTATATGCTTTGGTCTGTGTGCATCTTCCGATATGCTTTTCCGTTCAACATTTTTTCGTGTTCATTCGCTCCATTTTTCGTTGCTCGTACTCTGTGCATCTTTCCATACTCGTGCATTTACACCTATCCGTACACCTTCAAACAACACGGTTTTGCTTCTCCAGTTACATCATCTGCTGTCCGTCCCTCGTCGTGTCTTTTTGTTTTCTAAGCCCACCGCTATATAGTATCAGAATAATTCTCCTCGCCTCTCACCATCGTCGTCGTTTTTCCGCTCTGGCCCTCGCCCTCACTCTCGCAAAATCACTCTGTGTACAACTCTTCGTATTTTTTTTTCTATATGCCCTCATGCACACACGCTGACACACGACTCTTTTTTTCTCAACAATACAAGCCATATTTATGGACGCTTTTTACGTTCACATGGCTCAAAAAAAAAAAAATCTTTTTTGCTGCATTTCAATGCTGGTTACACACATTCGGAGAAAGCCAGAAAAAAGAACATATACGCACATGTCTTCCGACATCTGCCAGAAAGAAATGCAAGTAAGAAGCCCCAAAGTTGGGAAAAAAGCAAATATATTATCTTCTACTTCTCCGACTGGGAGTTGAACCCAGATCTCCTGCACAGATGTCGACACATTGTAGGAGGTTACGAACCAGCCAATAGATTGTCAGAGACATCTGACACTTAGAAACGGAAGGAATGAGAATGGAGAAAAAGAATAAGTATAGTTTGGGACAAAAAGCACTGCAAGGCAGAGAGATCGGGCAGAACGCTCTCTTTTTCATTTTTCATTTTTCATTTTTCCTCATAAATCCGAATTTATTCTTTCGAGTGATTTCCCCATGTCAGAAGTGTTGTTACACTACATTTGTATGGAAGTAAGTATATATATGTACACACTGTTGTCTGTTAGGAAGCAGATGAAGCATCTATGTAAGATTATTGCATTTTCCTATCTTTTGTCAAAAAAAGGTGGTCTTCCCTAAGACCTCTCTCTGACTGGGAATTGAACCCAGCTCTCCCGCGCACATTGCTAACACTGGAAAATGATTCGGTATGACAGGCGGGTGTACTAGCCAATACACTATCAGAGACATGGAACATTAATTGAAGCGGAGAAGAATAAGCAGAGCAGGATGAAGAAGTTGTGCACGATACATATATAGTAGTGCTGTCTTTTTTTTTTTTTTTGCTGCATTTCCATGATGGTTGGTTACACACACACTCAATGTACGTACTACACACATCTTCAGCACTACATTAGATTCACCCGGCCCCCCCTGCCCATCCCGCACACATAAACCACATCCTTCTTCCCATATTTGTGTGTGCACAAATTCAAATCTATATGTAGAAGAAAAAATCCAAGAAGTTGCAAACCCCAAAACATCATAAAAGGCTTCGTGGTTGAAACAGCTCTCTGACTGAGAATCGAACCCAGCTCTCCCGCGTACATTTCAACAATGCGGACCATGACATGCGAGTGTAGGTGCCAATACACTATCAGAGACATACGTACGGAAGGAATCAAATGGAAGTAGGCAGACATGACAGATGGATGGGCCAGGAACGGGCAAGGAGGACATGGCGGAGAGGTTCGTCGACCTCATTCAAGTTATTTGAGCCGAAGGAAGGCCACGGATGCGTCGAACAAGAGACTTGAGGGAAAGGGAATATTTACGCACACGGGTATACGACACACTCACACGCACGCGTCAATGGCGAGTACTTCACACAAACAGGAGGGAACAGTACACGCGCGAGAGAGAGCAAAGAGAGAGAACTTGCTAAGTAGTAGAAAGACATACATGACATAGACATATAGCGTATAGTTTTCGCGCCTTCTGCTCTGGCATGCTCCTCTCGTTTCGGCAGCGTGTAACATATACAGTACACCACCTACGCAGTTTAGACCTCCTTGACCTTGACAGAGCCACGGAGGAGACCGGTGCGGCGGGCGGCGATGAGACCGACCTTCTGTCCAGGGACGGCGGAGCGGGCAATGGTAGAGGCCTTTCCGATGTGCTGGTGGTTACCACCACCGTGGGGGTGATCGACGGGGTTCATTGCCACACCACGAGTACGGGGCCAGCTAAAACGTTTGATGAGCATGAGAGTCGGTAGAAGAAGAATATATATAAGACGGACTTGTAGCGCTTGGCCTTGTACTTTTCATATGCGCGGCCAGCCTTGAGGAGGGGCTTGTCTATACGACCACCACCAGCGACGATGCCGATGGATGCGCGTGCTGAGCCGGAGACGGTCTTTTTGGCGCCAGAGGGGAGGCGGATGCGGGTCTTGTTGTCGTCGGGCGAGTGGCCAATGATAGTCGCGTAGTTGCCGGATGTGCGTGCGAGTGCACCACGGTCACCAACCTGTTCTCGCCATGAATGGATGCACCTGCTACTCTTGGAAAAAGAACAAACAAACCTTCTCCTCGACATTACATACGATTGTACCTTCAGGGCACTGCGAGACAGGAAGGATGTTGCCGACCGCCAGGGTTGCCTTCTTGCCGCAGTAGACGAATGCACCGGTGTGGAGGCCCTCAGTCGCGATGAATGTTTCTGTGCGAAGCTTGTAGCGGTAGGGGTCGCGGAAGACGACGCGGGCGAGGGGCGCGCCACGGCCTGCGTCGTGGATGATGTCCTTCACGAGACCGCGGATGTAGCCATTGCGCTCAGCAAAGTCGAGGGGGCGCAGCTGTGCAGGGTTCTTGTTGTGGTGGGTGTGTGCGCTGAAGATGGCGTGCGAACGACGCTGTGCGCGGATGACACGGCCCATATCTAGAAAGGAGTCAGCCATGCGAGGTGACGCGCATCCACGCAAACACGCACCTGGTTCGAGCGATTTAATGGATGGATGGACTGTTGGCTGGTGTTGGCGACGAGCAGAGAGACAGAGAGAGCGTCGGCGTCGAGTCCTTGGTCCTTCGTGGTTGTCGGCCTCGTTGATCACCCTCAATCTATGTCGATCAAAATTGATCGATTGCGACGCGGGTTGAGTTGACTTACGCCTCTGCGGCCTCTCTCAAACACGAATCCTCCACCATTGCCTACAATTTGACGTTCTGAGCTCTCGAAAATGCAAACTGGCATCTTGGGGTCTCCCAAAAATGAATGCGGCAAGACGTCTCGAGCTCGTTCATCTGCCGGAGAATCGCAACGCGGATCTGAATTTCACCGCTTTGCATGCAGTCTTTCATGTTTCTGCTTTATAAGAGAAAATCTCTGTCATTGCCTGGCGTGTAGCAATGGCGCAGGGTACCATGCTCACATTAGTATGCTACAAACCCGATCGCCACGATATGAAACACTGCGCTCCCTCTCTTGCTAAGCGCCTACAAACCCAGCTGCATCGTGCACGTAGTTGATATCTCATACATCTCATACGCTCGCTGCATTCTCTCTTTTACTTGTCCTTCTTCACCGGCACGACGAGGCGTCTCTTCTTGCTCATTTCTTCTCTCGTACCTGCGCTTTTTCTCTCTCGCTACAACCCCAGCATCGTACACGTAGTTCATGTCTCTTACATCTCGTATGCTCGCTGCATTCTCTCTTTTACTCATCCTTTTTCACCAGCACTACGCGCATCTCTTCTTGCTCATGTGTACCGTGTCTTCTCTCGTAACAACTGACCTGCATCCTCACAATGGTACTGGTGTGTACCTCTCTCTCTTCACCAACAGTGTTTTACGTCGTGTCACCCCTCTTTCCGTCCAAGCTACACTCCATTCGGTTCGAATGTGCAATCGTCGCCACTTATCGAGTAACTCTTATCGAACTCTTACTGCAAGTTTGACATCTCTGATAGTATATTGGCTAGTTATATAGCTAGTACACCCGCCTGTCAAGGTGATCTAATGGTCACAGCACGGGCGTGAGATGCGCGGGAGAGCTGGGTTCAATTCCCAGTCAGAGAGCGGTTGTCCTTCCTTAAAACTCGTTTTTCATGGTTTGCTTACATACTGTTCAGTCAATTCAGCTAAATTCAAGGGGCCATGTAGAGTTTTGTCTGTTTTTCCACTTGAAAACTCCTGTTGTTATCCACTCTTTGACAATCTGATTACATGTGTTCTGTTAGACTATGAGTATCCCTCCCTCGTCTGTAGTTCTACTTGCTCATGTGCGTGGCGATTGATTTCATAGGTTTGTCATATCTATTCAATCGCCACCACAGCGCATAGACTGAGTGAGCGGATTTCATCAGTCTAAGAGAACACATGTAATCAGATTGTCAAAGAGTGGATAACAACAGGAGTTTTCAAGTGGAAAAACAGACAAAACTCTACATGGCCCCTTGAATTTAGCTGAATTGACTGAACAGTATGTAAGCAAACCATGAAAAATGAATCTTAAGGAAGGGCAACCGCTCTCTGACTGGGAATTGAACCCAGCTCTCCCGCGCATCTCACGCCCGTGCTGTGACCATTAGATCACCATGACAGGCGAGTGTACTAGCCAATATACTATCAGAGATGTCCAACTCGCAGTAAGAGTTTGATAAGAGTTACTCGGTAAGTGGCGACGATTGCACATTCGGACCGAATGGAGCGTAGCTTGGACGGAAAGAGAGGTGACACGACGTAAAACACTGTCGGTGAAGAGAGAGAGGTACACACCAGTACCGTTGTGAGGATGCAGGTCAGTTGTTACGAGAGAAGACACGGTACACATGAGCAAGAAGAGATGCGCGTAGTGCTGGTGAAAAAGGATGAGTAAAAGAGAGAATGCAGCGAGCATACGAGATGTAAGAGACATGAACTACGTGGATGATGCTGGGGTTGTAGCGAGAGAGAAAAAGCGCAGGTACGAGAGAAGAAATGAGCAAGAAGAGACGCCTCGTCGTGCCGGTGAAGAAGGACAAGTAAAAGAGAGAATGCAGCGAGCGTATGAGATGTATGAGATATCAACTACGTGCACGATGCAGCTGGGTTTGTAGGCGCTTAGCAAGAGAGGGAGCGCAGTGTTTCATATCGTGGCGATCGGGTTTGTAGCATACTAATGTGAGCATGGTACCCTGCGCCATTGCTACACGCCAGGCAATGACAGAGATTTTCTCTTATAAAGCAGAAACATGAAAGACTGCATGCAAAGCGGTGAAATTCAGATCCGCGTTGCGATTCTCCGGCAGATGAACGAGCTCGAGACGTCTTGCCGCATTCATTTTTGGGAGACCCCAAGATGCCAGTTTGCATTTTCGAGAGCTCAGAACGTCAAATTGTAGGCAATGGTGGAGGATTCGTGTTTGAGAGAGGCCGCAGAGGCGTAAGTCAACTCAACCCGCGTCGCAATCGATCAATTTTGATCGACATAGATTGAGGGTGATCAACGAGGCCGACAACCACGAAGGACCAAGGACTCGACGCCGACGCTCTCTCTGTCTCTCTGCTCGTCGCCGACATCAGCCAACAGTCCATCCATCTGTCAAATCACTCGAGCGAGGTTTTTTTTTTTTTTTTTTTTTTTTTTTCCCCGACACGGCTAGTCTAGGGCAATTTAAACGCCCCAGTCGGCTAGGCTATTCGTTTCAAAGAACGAAGGGTGGGGGTAGGTAGCAGGTTGACATTGAAACGGTGCTACACAAAAATTTCAGCAGATCTGAAACTGGCGAAGGTTCGCGAGCTGATACAGCGGGTTTTAAGAGAACTTTCAAAGGAAAGTTCTAAGAGTTAAGAAAAGGTGGTACCGAGGGATCTGTCAGGAAAGGGCAGAAGCCTGTATGAGCCAACAAACGGGAGAGCGTTGCGGAGAGCGTGATACCTTAGGGGCTGGACAAACGGGGGAACGAGCATTTGTTGTTTAGAATTTTTATAAAGACAAGCTATAGAACGATCTCTGGAAATCGAGAGCTATACGACAGGCTATTAAGTAGCAGATAGCGCAGCTTTTAACTTGGGTACCTTAAACTAGTAGACGGGCAATAACGAAGGTTGCGCTCGCTGGAGCCGCTGAGGAAGCCAAACAAAAGAAACAAGCCAACTACCATCAGGATGACTGTATAGGTGTCGGGCTGACTCAGCCGCCACTTCGATCGGCCGACGGTTATGGGCGTCTATTCTGAAGTTATTCAATTCGATGCGCTCCCCCATGATAGAGGAGTCTTCAGGACCCTCGGTGGCAGCCTTTTCGAGGCATGGGGGATCAGCTCTCTGAAAAAGAGGGAGCTGCAAATAGCCGCCCCAACCGCACAAGGCGGAAGGGGAATCCTTAAGGGAAAATGGGTTCAGCCTGTCATCGTATACTACCTCAAGTACATTACGATCGCGTTTCAGACGCAGGAAACACCCCTTCGAGGAGGGAGATGCCCAGGCTTAAGGCCACTCTGCGCGCAGAGGTCATACAGACAATTGTACGTCTGTAATACATGACAAAATGGATGCAACGTTGGGGAAACGAGCGGCTGAAAAAAGCTGTAAATCCAATGGCAAGCGCATTAGCAAACCCAGTACCATAAAATGGAATGGGCCTCAACGAAGGTGATTACAATGTTGACAACACTGCACACTACAGCAGACTCCAAAAACCTTTGCTGTTTCCCCCACGAGGCTGAGGGAGCACGGCGGAAATTTTGAGTGATCGCGAGAAATTTTCCGATCGCGAGAGGGCCACCTCGATCGCTCGCAAAACGGCGGAAAACTTGACCTTGAACAAAACCAACTGACGCCTATATCCTACTGCAAAGCCAGACAGAATGTCTAGTACTCCAAACGAGAACCGTCCCACTACCCCCCCGCGTGGAAATGCGAGCGCTGCTGAGCCAGGAACCCCATCCAAGCAGTCGACAAAGAAGTCGAAAACGGCCACTGGGGAAGCGGAAGAGCAAGCACGAGTATACGTACGCATCCCCCTCCCATAAAAAAGTAGTGATACCAAAGCTTGAATAGAGCTAACCTACTGCCGCAGAACCGTAGAGATTACGACGACGAAACCGCGCACCGTAAAACGCCGTACCAGAACTCGCCGCTGGCGAAAAACCCTCCTGCCACGTCAGGAGGCAAGGCACCAGTGACGCCCGCAAGCCAAAACGACGGCGAGAATCCTGTCCAAGGGAATGCAAGCCACGTAGGTAGCCAGCAGCAGGGTACTGGGGCAAACATGATGCCGGGCAGCCCAATGGAGGTGACTGAAGACCTCCCGGCCTTCGAGCTCCCCGACCCGATGGACCAGTCAGTGCAGCCCGCTCTGCGCGATGAGAACCCGCACCTCCAAAAATCTCAGAGATGGCCGGCCCCGACTGCGACCCCAACGAACTGGACAACGCCGTTCACGCAGGCTGTATGGCCCCGTGCGGTCTTCCCCGTAGAGGCCCTGCTGCGGAATGTCAGTGACAAGCACTGGGAGGATATAAATGATGAGCATGTCGAAACGCTCCTTGCCATCTGCTTTGGCGCGGGGCCTGCGAATAATGCCAAAAACCCCGATCAGGTAAAGGAGCTGCTGAACGTCCTCGAAACCCTGCAAGAAGACCTCGAAAAGACGCATGAAGGAGAGGCGGAATATGTAGCGCCGGATGGCACCATCGACGCTGAACTGGCAGAGGCGAAGAGAAAATCGGAGGGCGACAAAGAGGCGCGCCCATTCAATAGCCCGTGGATTGTCATTCTGAAGGTCGCCCGCACCGAAATGCGGAACTTCCTCGTCCACAGGCAGACTCTGGCCTGGGACCGCACCCTGACCGCACATTTCGTGACCCTAGACCCTAGTGTAAAGTCCTGGGTGATCACGCACCTGCAGTGTAATGCAGTGAGAGGTACAGACGCGGCGAAGGCTCGGCTGCTCGGCTCCGTCAAGGGGATATTGTGGCAGGACAAAGTGTACCGTAAAATCGTAGACATCATCACCTCGCCCTTGGCCGAATTCGAGGGCTGCCTCGATGAGCGTGTCTTCGAATCAACAAAGACCTTTGATGTGGTGTACGTATCTTACATTGCGAAGGCAGGCGAAAAGGAGGGCAAGCTTGTTGAGTTGTACATCCTCATGGGCAAGCCCCTTACGAACGACCCCGACCTCCACAAGAGGTGGATTGAGGCCATCAGGAGGGCCAATCTCCGTGTGGGGATCCAAACGATCAAAACCAAGGAAGTCTACACGATCTGTGACTGGTGCAAATCGCCGATGCACCCGACTGAAGGGTGCAAATATCTCACATTCAACGACTGGTATGGTCCGAGACAGCAGGACAACCCAGTGCGTGGCCAGCCGAGCACGCGTGGAGGTCGAAGCGCTAGCCGTGGACGGGGAGGCACTCGTGGAAGAGGTCCTCGTGGGGGAAGCCGGGGGAACCGCTTCAGCCCGCTTGAAATGTAGAGTGTAATCTTGTGGTGCACGGCTCATAAAATATATTGGTTCTACGTTCCTAAATGAAGCTGAGAGATCTTAAGGAGCTCAAAGCACCAGATGCCTGTGCCCGGGAGCAGAAGAAGTCGCCAAGTACTACTCTTCAGGATAGTATGAGGCGCAAGCTGAAGGCCCACATTTACTGACGGGTATCCCACAGATACGACGGACAGGAAAGCCAGAGGTAAGCCTAACCCCGTAGATTTTGCGACGTGAAACCGCCCAGACGGACGCGAAGCGAGACCTGCAAAACCGCGTAGACGACGACGGACCGATATCCCGTTATCCGAGCACCCAACACAACATCGCGAACAACAACAACAATTATATACTAGGGAGCTACTCCAGCAAACATGAGGTGTCGACTTTGCGTCGACGGTACAGGCAACTACGATGGGCCGACGAGAAGGGACGATACCGCGCCGCGGGTACAACCGTCCATGAATCGATAACCCAGGTAAGGACAGATGGCAGTTTCGAATGGGGGGATGGTGAGGGTCTGACAAGCAATGACCTGAGCCGAAGCACTCATCGAGCAAAGCTGCCCAATGACCCAGCTACCCCACCTCAACCTCGCACGGGC